CTGTTTTGTTTCTCGTCGACGTTGTATGAGATGAGCGACAAGCGTCGGACGCGACGCACTCGCTTTTTATGTTGTGGGAGGTTGGGCGGGAGTGGACGGAGCCCTTTGGCTCGCTGAAGCTGGCTAACTTGACCCCACCCCCACGCTCATCCTTACATCCTTTGATCAAACACCCCCACATCCCCACATAGCCGGCCGATAGCAAACCTGCCGTGCTAACTGTCAAAAAGAAAAACAACACACACGCATTTTTGTCTCGCCAACGTGTCGTCAAATTGCGAAAGTGCACCAGGAATCGGACGGAATGAACATCGCTTGGGTAACCCTAAGCGGGTGGTCGCGTTTTACCAATCAAAAAGCAATACACAGTCAGGGTTTTTTTCGTCATCATGGATTTTCTTGTCGTCGGCGCTGCGAACAGTGTAGCAAGGAATGGGACGCGGCGCGCATCGCGCGCGGACGCCTGGCCAACCCTACGCGGGACCCCCCGTCCTACCTGTCAAATAGCACTGCAATGTCGACGTGTTTCTTGCCAACATGTATTTTCCCCTCGTCGGCGATGCGAATCGCGTAGCGGGAATGGGATGCCCCGCGAACTCCCAAGAAGCATGCTTCTCTTCCTCAGTTTTTCCCTCCCTCGTTCTCCTCCTCTTCCTCCTCTTCCTCCTCCTTCCTCCTTCTCCTTCTCCTCCTCCTCCTCCTTCTCCCCCTCCTCCCCCTCCTCCATGCGCGGCAGGAGCGAAACGGTTGGCGGTGCAACGCGCGTGGCTGGAATGAGACGCGGCGCACTTCGCGCACTGGACATGTTGTCGCCGACGATGCAAGATGAGAGGCCGGAGCGGGGCGCGGCGTACATCGCGCGCGGTTTTGTTTCTCGTCGACGCTGCTCAATGCGCGGCAGGAATAGAACGCAGCTCATGTCGCGCGCTGAACGTCTAGCTGCCCACGATATAAGATGAGCGACAGGCGTCGGACGCGACGCACTCGCTTCTTATGTTGTGGGAGGTTGGGCGGGAGTGGACGGAACCCTCTGGCTCGTTCGAGCTGGCTAAGTTGACCCCGCCCCCACGCTCATCCTTACTTCCTGTGATTAAGCACCCCCACATCCCCACCTAGCCGGCCGATAACAACGCCGCCGTGTTAACTGACAAAAAAAACACACACGCATTTTTGTCTCGCCAACATGTCGTCGAATTGCGAAAAGTGTACTAGGAATGGGACGGAATGAACATCGCTTGGGTAACCACAAGCCCCAAGCGGGTGGTCGCGTCCTACCCATCAAAAAAACAATGCACTGTCAGAGTGTTTCCCGTCAGCGTGGGTTTTCTTGTCGTCGGCGCTGCGAAAAGTGTAGCAAAGAATGGGACGCGGCGCGCATCGCGCGCGAACGCCTGGCCAACCCTACGCGGGACCCCCCGTCCTACCTGTCAATCACCACCGCAACGTCGACGTGTTTCTTGCCAACATGTACTTTCTCCTCGTCGGCGTTGCGAATCGCGTAGCGGGAATGGGAAGCCCCACGAATTCTCAAGAAGCATTTTCTTTTTTTTCCTCAGTTCCTCCCTCCCTCCCTTCTCCTTTCTCCCTTCTCCTCCTCCTCCTCTCCTCCTCCTCCTCCCTCCTCCTCCTCCTCCTCCTCCTCCTCCTCCTCCTCCTCCTCCCCCCCGTCCTCCTCCTCCTCCTCCTCCCCCTCCTCCATGCGCGGCAGGAGCGAAACGATTGGCGGTACAACACGCGTGGCTGGAATGAGACGCGGCGCACTTCGCGCGCTGGACATGTTGTCGCCGACGATGCAACATGACAGGCCGGAGCGGGGCGCGGCGTACATCGCGCGCCTGTTTTGTTTCCCGTCGACGTTGTTCAATTCGCGGCAGGAATAGGACGCAGCTCATGTCGCGCGCTGAACGTCCAGCCGCCCACGATATGAGATGATTGGCGCGCATCGGACGCGACGCATTTGTTTTTTTAGGTTGTGGGAGGGCGGGTGGGGGTGGACGGAGCCTTCTGGCTTGTTCGAGCTGGCTGACTTGACCCCGCCCACATCCCCCCCCCGCCCCGCCCCCACCCTCACCCCCCCACCCCCACCCCCGCCCCCACCCCGCCCGCCCGCCCGCGCGCGCACACATACATACATACATACATACATACATACATACATACATACATGCATACATACATACATACATACATACGTACATACATACATACAATATGTATACATTTATACAGACAGACGAACAGACAAACATACTGACTGGCAGACAGACATACGCGCATACACACACACACACGCATGTACGCACACTTGTTTGCGTCGGTGGTTGGGCACAGGTACGCACGCGAATAATCGTGGATACCCATGGAACGATGGGAAAACATGGGCAGTGGTCGGGCGGGGCGACGACGAGGAGGAGTCCGCTCCGGAACTTTAACTTAGAATGCGTTTGGGGCAGTCCGAATGCGCTCGGAGCATTCCAGGGGGACTCTCCGAGGAGGCCGCGGCGACCGAGGCATCCTCCAGGGCCGCGGGATCTCAGAGATTCTCGACTTATCCTCGCCCGACTGTGTCTTCGTCCTGGTTTCGCTTCGTATTAGGCTTAAGTCGGGCCTGTCCCCCCTACAGGAGGAAGATTCGGAAACTATGCAAAAATAGTTGTGGGACTATGTTTTGACTTCTTTTTTTTGTGACAATTTTGGGGATAGTTTCAACTGTTTTTGCATTTTTCGCCCAAAATCCCCCTGTAGAGGGGGACAGGCCCGACCTAATATCAGGCGTTCCAGAAATTGCCCTGCCTTCGAGGATCGACGGAGTTGTCATCTCTTCCTCGGCGGAAGTTCGGCGGAAGCAAAACAAGGCCGCCTCCGCCGGCGGAAACCGGCAGAAGGTGGCGGAAGTAAAAAGTGCGCCCCCAAGAGATGGAAAACGCTTCTGGATCTGAAGCCCGCCATATGGAACAATTTTGGCAGTGTGGGGGGAGACGAACTTTCAGAAATTATGGGGAGTCCTGGGATTTGTGTCTATTGATCTGTGTGAGTCCGTGGGCTCCTGCGGAGGCAGACTCCGCAGGAGAACACACACAAAATAAGAACCGTCGGTTTACACTTAGGAAGCTATGGAAAGTATGGGAAGTGTGGGGGGGAGGCGAACATTGGCGGCGAGCGAGGGGGGGGAAGCGAGAAGGGGCGGGCCTTCTCAGAAGGCTCGGAAGTTCCGCTGCCTTCTGAGAGGTTTCCGACGCCGTCCCCGAAAACACGGAAGCCTTTTCAGGAGGCGCCAGGGCCTCTGCGAAGTCCCGCCGCCCTCCGGGAAGGCCTCCTCCTTCTCGCTTCCCCCCTCGCTCGCTCGCCGCGAGACGGACACCCAGAAAAATGCGGAACAGATCCGGAGTCCTGGGATTCGTGTCTGCTGCTTTGTGCTATGAGTGGCCCGTGTCGGACGATATTTTGCGTGTGCAGACTCCTGTGTGCAGTCACGGCAATCTGGAACTTTTTGTGTGCAAAAACAACCAGGGGAGTGAAACAATTCAAGTTTCGACTAAGATTCTTGGGTGTTTGTGCGCTGGGCCCCTTCAGAGACCTTGGCATCGCTCGGACGTGTGCATGTTTCCCTCGGTGAGGACCATCGAGGAGCATCCTGGATCATTTGGCGGAAAAACCACGCACGAAGCCAAAAAAAACAAAGCACAGGGAATGGACGCCCGAGCGATGGCCAGAGACGGCCTCCCCTCCCCTGCTCTGGCTGCCGCTCTCCCTCCCCCCTCCTGCGGGCGAGAGACTCGGCGGCGAGGTCCGCACCCTGCCTCGGAGGAGGAGGACAGGGTAATTACCGATGCCGCTACCCACAAGACAAATCCTCACAAGTCGCGGGATGGAAAGGGATATTCTATCAGACACCATGTGCTTTCAAGGTACATGTCACCTTTGATTCGAAAAGCCTAGCTTCCCTCTCTTCCCCCTTCTCCGGGCCTCCTGGGAGGCCTTTGTCGCCGCTGGATTCTCTTCGAGATCCTGGCCAGAGCGCACCTCCGGAGAGGTCCAGGGAGCGGTGGCATCGGCACCTTTTGATTCCCCCAAGGGTTCGGCGGCGAGATCCGTACATTACCCCCGCCGATCAACGATTCAGGCACATCGATCGGCGGCGGGGGCAGGGTTCGGAATTCGTCGAGCACGTGGCAGAATCCGAACCCTTCCCCCGCCTCCCATCGATTCATGGGAATCGATGGTTGGTGGGGGTATGGATGTCGCCGCCTAAACATGTATATCCATATCCACTGCATCTTGGAGTTTGGATTTCCTTTCCCAGACACCCGAGGCGCAGTGGATAAATAGATCAGAATCTGGCCCCCAGAGGCCTGATTTGCTATCAGCATTCACTGCACCTCGGCCTTTTGACACCCCTTCCCAGAAAGTCCAAGACGCATTGGACATGGATATGTACATTGCCCGCACTTCTCTGTCTGTCTGTCTGTCTGTCTGTCTGTCTGTCTGTCTGTCTGTCTGTCTGTCTGTCTCTCTGTCTCTCTCTCTTCTCTCTCTCTTTCTCTCTGGTGCTGGTGGTTCTGGTAGGTCGGTCGCCATTGTTTTAGGTGTTCGTGTGGGGGATTCGTCTAGGGCCCACCCGGCCGATCTGTTCGACTCTTGCTCGACTCTAGTCCGGTGCCAGTTCGGTTCTAGCTCGATTCAAGTTCGGCTCAAGTTCGACTTCACTCGGCAGACGTTCGACGTAGCAATGTTCGACGTCCCTGGTGAGCCACTCACTGGCCAGTTTGTTATATGACTCCCTCCTGCCTTCCCCTGCCACGAGTGGGGAGGGGAATCCATTTCCCCGCAACGTCCGTCCCTGGTGCTTCTATCTACCTCATCCCCCATCTCATGCCCCGAGGAGGCGGAGGAGGAGAAAGAGTAGGTGAATGAGAGGAGGAGGAAGAGGAGGAGGAGGAGGAGGAGGAGGAGGAGGGGGAGGAGGAGGAGGAGGAGGAGGAGGAGATACGTCCAGAGAGAACACGACTGCGGCGGAGGATCCCTACCTGCCCGTGAAGGTCTATTCGAGCTTGGTGCCGTGCCGCCGCCTCAGCAGATGCGCGACCGCCTGTGCGCTGGCTCGGGGTAGCCGCGATCGTCTGTGGGCTTCCTGGCGGTACGGCCGACATTCGAAGCAGATGAAAGTCAGGAGGGGAAAAACACACACAGGCACAATTTATCGTCGATTCCCCAGAAAATATGGGAACATATGGGAGGTGGGGGGAAAACGAACATCCAACAACTATAAGCAAATATGGCGAATCCTGCTAGTTGTGTCTATTTATTTGTGTGTGTGTGTGTGTGTCCCTGGGCCCCTTTTAGAAAGCTTCACCTGCCGCAGCCTGGCGGTGTCCACGCGCTGGTTTCACGATGGGCAGGCAACGGTGCCGAACCAGGGCACGCGCGCCGCCGCAGCCGGGCGTGCGGGCGAGGGCGGACACGGGGGGGGCCGTCGAGCCCTGGATGCACCAGGGCAGCGCAGCAGACAAAACGGCTCGGGGCAGCGCAGCAGCAACAAACAACTGCTCTGGCTCTGGGCCGACATGGGGCGCTTCAGGGCTGTCTTTGAGGCCATCTTGGGCGTCTTGGAGCCCTCTTGGGCCATCTCGAGGCCAGCTTGGGGCCGCCATCTTGGAGGCCTCTGGGGCGGCCTTGGGGCGATCTTCGGAGCCTCTTTGCACATCTTCGGCCGTCTGAAGGCCAGAATGGAGCGAACACCCAAACCCACAGAACATACATGATGTTGGCCTCGTCGGGCCTTCCTGGAGAACCTCTTGGAGGCCCCTTGGGCCGTCTTGGGGGGAACCTTGAGGGCCTGCTGAGCCGTCTTGGGCCATTTTGATGCCATCTTGGGCCGTCTTGGGTGCGTCTTGTGCCGTCTTGGAGACATTGCGGCCATCTTGGGCTCTCTTGGGGCCATCTTGCCCGTCTTGGAGGCCATCACATCTTAACAGTCTAGGAGACCATCTTGGGGCCATCTTTGGAGGCGTAGTCCAATGATCCACTAATGTGTGGCGGCTCTCTCTGGGTGGCTGTCGGGCTGGGCCGAGACCTTACTGAGACTTTTTAAAACAAGAGCCCAAAAAGACGCTCAGAAATTCAGCACGCCGTGCACCCCCGAGGCAAGCCACAGGGGACGGCAGATCTAGTGGTTTTCGGCCCATCCGCGCCTGGGTCGTAGGCAGGAGGCATCTTGGATGACGGTCGGAGTCTCTTCGGATGGGTCGTGGGATCCTCCTGGGATGCGCTCTTCTTGAATGCTTATCTGGAGCCTGTGGGATGCCGTTTCAGGCTTGGGGGGGAGCCTCTCGGGCCTCTGTTGGGGACATCTGGGGAACCGAATGACACTCCGCTCGGTGCGAATCGGTACGGCGGCGGTGAACGCCCTGCAGAAGACTGAAGGATTGCAAAAAAAACCAGGATTGCAAAAAAAACAAGGATTGCAAAACAAAAACCGAAGGATTGCAATCCCTTGTTTTTTTGATGGATTGCAGAAAAACCTGTTTTTTGCAATCCTTGGTTTTTTTGTACACGCAGAGACCCTTTTTGCTCCCCGGGGCTCTCGCCTGCAGGGCAGGCCCCACAGGGCGGGGGTGTGCTTCGGGGAGTCGTGCCTTGCCGCGGGGGTGACTTCTGTCGGGACCTGCGAGGACGGTCAGCGGCGAGCCCCGGGGGAGAGGCGAGACGGGGCGGGCCTTCTCGGGAGGCTCGGAAGTCCCCCAGCCTTACGTCGGGCACGTCCCTCTACAGAAGGAGTGTTCAAACATACAAAAAAACCTGGGGAGGGTTTTTCGATTTGTTGTTGCCATTTTGGAACATGCTGTGATTATTATTACTTTTTCATCCAAAATCCTCCTGTAGGAGGACACGCCCGACCTAACCCCAGCCTTCTGAACAGTTTCCGACGCCGTGCCCGAAGACGCAGAACATGTTTCAGAAGGCGCGAGGGCTTTGAGAAGTCCCGCCGCCTTCTGAGAGCGCCTCCTCCTCCTCACTTCCCCCCCTCGCCCGCCGCCGAGAGGGGACGTGGGCTGGGTGGGTGAACTGCAGCATCGTTGATGCATCCTGGGTTGATTTTGGCCCTCTTCGCATGCAGCCGCGAGTACCGCAAAGCAGGTGATACGAAGAAGAGGCACACGCAAACTAACGAGAGGCGTGCGAATTGGCACATTCCTTGTCAGCATCGTGCCGGCGTGCACGACTGGCCTTCACCATCTTTCGACGCGGCGAGAGTCAAGGAAAGAAAAACCACCTGGACCCGATCATTGGCGTTTACTGAACGGCCCTGGGCGTCTACTCAACAGCCCCACCCTGTTCGATTCCTTCTCTGGGCCACTGGGTGCGTTTACTAGACGGCTTCGCTTGTCGGGGTGGTTAATATGGGTGTGGATGTTTTGCCTTCTGCAGAGGGCTCGAAGCTGGGCGAAGGCTGGCAAACCCGTGGCTGCTAAACCAGAGCTCCTAGAAACTGTTTGTTTCTTCCGGGAAGCAGCCTGTTTATTACTTCGTCCGCTGAGCTTTATTCTGGGAATATGTTGTCTCTTCCAGGAGGACCGTTTGACCGAGCATTCTCTTTGGGTGGAGGGCAGAGGGTGACGTCTGAACTGTCGTTTCGATGGATTCTCGAGGCCTGAATCTGCAGAAGGTGAAGCACAAGACGGACGGATCCTCGAGGTGCAGGAGCCCATCTGGATCTCACCCGGAGGCCTCCGCCCCACGAGCGTGTTCCGTTGTAGCAGCCACGGATTTGCCAGCCCTCGCCCAGCTCCCGAGAGGGAGGAGGAGGAGGAGGAGGAGGAGGAGGAGGAGAAGGAGGAGGAGGAGGAGGAGGAGGAGGAGGAGGAGGAGGAGGGGGAGGAGGAGGGGAGGAGGAGGGGGAGGAGGGGAGAAGGCTGGGCCGGGGGGGGGGGGCCCACGCCGCCTCGAGGGCCGGGTCGGGAGGGAGCAGCAGGGCCCACGCCCTGCCTTCGGGGGGGCGCGCTCGCCGCTCCGCCCGGGCGCAGGGGTGCCTGGAGGAGGAGGAGGAGGAGGAGGAGGAGGAGGAGGAGGAGGAGGAGGAGGGGGAGGAGAGGGGGAGGGGGAGGAGGAGGGGGAGGGGGAGGGGGAGGAGGAGGAGGAGGAGGAGGAGGAGGAGGGGGAGGAGGAGGAGGAGGAGGAGTTTCGAGGCGGGGAGTTGTACACAACCACCGCCTGGAAGATTGATTTTCGTTGGGCTCCAGAGGCGGTGGAGCTGGATATATGTGTTGGCACCCTGAGGCCAAGCTATATCCATATCCATATCCACCGCCCGCGGCTGTCGGTTCCCAGGCGGTGGATATGGGTACATCCCCGCCTCGCACGAGGAGGCTCCTGCGGGTCACCGCCTTTCTTATCGCGCCTTTACCCCTTCCTCCTCCAATCTCTCTTTAGGATGCAGGTTTTGGGAGGTTGGGTTCAGCATCGGCGCTGGTATAGCCGTGGTCGAAAACCAGCCCAATGCGGTAGTGCTCCGTTCAATCCCGCATGCATTTTGGTTCATTCGGGCTTAATCCTAGGCTCAATCCTGGGCCGCATCCAGCTCGGTCTGGCTCAGTAGCCCCCTAGTCCAGCTCAGTAGTTAGCCCTGAATCGTTCTGGCGAAGATCTCCCAGGACAGGCCTCCCAACTGATGTCTCCTCCGCCCCGCCCCCTCCCTCCCTCCCACCCTCCTTCACCTCCTCCTGTTCCTCCTGTTCCTCCTCCTCCTCCTCCTCCTCCTCCTCCTCCTACTTCTCCCCCTCATCCTCCCCCTCCTTCTCCTCCTCCTCCTCCCCCTCCTCCTCCTCCTCCTGCCCCTCGTCCTCCTCCTCCTCCTCCTCCTCCTCCTCCTGCCCCTCCTCCTCCTCCTCCTCCTCCTCCCTCCTCCTCCTCCTCTCCTCCTCCTCCTCCTCCTCCTCTCCTCCTCCTCTCCTCCTCTTCCTGCCCCTCCTCCTCCTCCTCCTCCTCCTCCTCCTCCTCCTCCTCTGAGGCTCCTCCCCGTTGGCTTCCCATCCGAGGTTCGCAGCCCTACCCGCACGGACACCACTACAACGCGCTCGACGCGTGAGGGGGGCGGGCGTGCAACGGGTCCTCCTCCTCCCTCGACCTCGGCGGCGCGCCGAGGGGGGGGCAGCGAGCGGGCGCAGGCCTCCCCGGGAGGGAGGAAGGAGGAGGGAGGAGGGAGGAGGGAGGAGGGAGGAGGGAGGAGGAGGAGGAGGATAGGGGGAGGAGGAGGGGGAGAAGCAGGAGAGGGAGGAGGAGGAGGGGAGGAGGGAAGAGGAGGAGGAGGGGGAGGCATAGGGGGAGGAGGAGGAGGGGGAGGAGGAGGAGGAGGAGGAGGAGGAGGAGGAGGCATAGGGGGAGGAAGAGGGGGAGGAGGAGGAGATGGAGGAGGAACCAACAACATAGAAATCATAAGAGATACTCAGAAGAAGACGGCACATACTAATGATGTTGACAATGCCATTAAGAACAATAATAATAAACATGATATGAATACCAAGAAGAAGAAACATAAGAAGACTATTAACCATCATAATAAGAATACTAATAATGCGAAGAAGAATAAGAAGACGACAAAGAGGAGGAGGAGGAGGAGGAGGAGGAGGGAGAAGGCGGCGAAGGCTCAGGAGGCCTCCCGCCTTTGGGGGAAGAATTCTCGGCCTCATCTCCGGGAGCACGGGCCCCGATCTCCGACGCGATGTGCTTTTCTCGGTCCCGCTTTTCCCAACCACCCTGTGGTGTTGGGTCCTCGTTTTGAGGAAACGGTCCCCGCGTTCTCCCCCCCTCCTCCTCTGCCCCCTCCTCCTCCCTCCTCCCCCTCGTCCCTGCGTTTCACCCACCCAGTACAGCGTTTCGTAGCTCCATGGGGAGCTCCACCGAAGGCCCCAGTGCTGCCGCCCGCATGCGTCCCGCACACCCAATTCGGCACACCCCTCACACGTTTCGTGGCCCCATCGGGCGCTCCACCGGAGGCCCCAGTGCTGCCGCCCGCATGCGTCCCGCACACCCATTCGGGCACACCCCTCACACGTTTCGTGGCCCCATGGGGAGCTCCACCGAAGGCTCCAGTGCTGCCGCCCGCATGCGTCCCGCACACCCAATTCGGCACACCCCTCACACGCTTCGTGGCCCCATAGGGAGCTCCACCGAAGGCCCTAGTGCTGCCGCCCGCATGCGTCCCGCACACCCAATTCGGCACCCCCCCCACACGTTTCGTGGCCCCATCGGGAGCTCCACCGAAGGTCCCAGTGCTGCCGCCCGCATGCGTCCCGCACGCCCATTTCGGCACACCCCTCACACGTTGCGTGGCTTTAGGGAGCTCCACCGAAGGCCCCAGTGCTGCCGCCCGCATGCGTCCCGCACACCCAATTCGGCACATCCCTCACACGCTTCGTGGCTCCATAGGGAGCCCCACCGAAGGCCCCAGTGCTGCCGCCCTGCGTCCCGCACCCCCACTTCGGCACACCCCTCACACGTTTCGTGGCCCCATGGAGAGCTCTACCGACGGCTCCAGTGCTGCCGCCCGCATGCGTGCCGCACACCCAATTCGACCCAAGTCGGCCCGCGCATCGAGTTCTTCCTGGCCGGGCCGCCGGAGGGCTTGCGTAAGCAGTTGGAGCAGTTTGCGGCGCGCACGAAGCGGTGCAGGAGGGAGGCGACGGCCCTCGCCAGAGAGCTCGGCTTCACCGAGTTGATCCGCGAGGCCTGACCTGAGGAGCGGCCCGCCCCAGCCGCGCCTTCTGTTGGCTGTCCGAGTGTTTGGCCTCGCGCCGCGGACGACTCGCGCGTGTCGCTGGGGCCCTCTCGGGGCGATCTGCGCGCGTCGCGCAAACTCCGCGCTGCGCTCTGCCAAGCGCCTCGCCCGCCCTTCACCGCTTTTCCAGCGGCCAGAGCCATGCGCGCTATCAGTTAGCCAGCAAACACTGTATGCCCCGCACAGCGGACGAACCGCGCGCGTCACTGTGACCCCTTCGGGGCGACCTGCGCGCGTCGCGAGGACTCCGCGTTGCGCTGAGAAAAGAAGGGGAGGAAACGGGCGCGATCCTCGTGTGGAGCGTGCCGACATGGGCGTCGCGGCGCGCGGGCGCTGCCGTCGGGGTTCCTGGGGAAGCTCCCTGCGGAAGTTACGCTCAGTGTCGCGAGTTCTCAGAGTCAGGCAGACCCCAACCATTCACATTCGCGTGCATTTCCACTAGGCGTATCCACGCTCGCAGTCATGCAAATAGAATCAATCGCACGCAGACTCATTCATAATCAGACTCTCTTGCGCTCAGACTCACCCGCGCTCAAGCTTTCATACGCAGGCCGATCGTCTTCCGCTCGTGTCGTGCGGCCGCACATGTCGGCACCCCCCTCACACGGTTCGTGGCCCCATAGGGCTCGCCACCGAAGAAGATGTTCACAATAGCGGTGCTCACAGTTGCATATGGTTCGGTCCTTCGCCAGTATAATTTTGTTTTCCTCCATCTCGGCCTCCAGGGCCCCTTTTATCGGGTCCCCGGACCCTGGACCATCAGACATGGATCCGAGACAAACAACCCGGGGACGCGGTGGGGGCCTCACGGGCCGCAGACTGGGAACATCATATCGGCTGACGTCAGAGGGAGGAGGCCTGCCCCCGTTCAGTTTCCCCCCAGCACACGGCGGGGCAGTCTTTACGGATGCGGGGTGCGGAGCGCCTCCGCATTTGCCAGTCCAATCGTGGTCCCAGGGGCACGACGGGCTGGGGGTTGGCTCGGTGACCACATGTGAACCCTACCCCCACCCCCCACGATCTCTAAGGGGCGGTTGGGGTTCACCTCGTTCGGGAGTTCCCGAGCGAAACGAACCCCGACCCCCCCTTCGAAGTCGTGGGGGTTGGGGGTAGGGTTCACATGGGTTCACATGTGGGCACATATGGCATCGCTTCTCTTCATCCTCTGCCCTTGTCCTCCGTCTCCTCGTCCCGCTGCTCCATCTCGGAGAGAGAGGGCGTGGCTCCTGAGGTGGCGCGGGCGCGCTGCAGCGCCGCAGCTGGGCGAGAGGGCCCGGGACGAGGGGCGGGTCGGGGCGTCGTGGCGGGCGCGTGAGCAAGCATGGTGTCGATGCCTCGGCGGGTGCAGGGCATGAGCAGGAGAACGCGAGGCCGATGTCTGGGTCAGTGGGTAGATGCTCCCTCGCCGCAGCACACCAGGCCACGCCAGTCTGCATCTTTTCGCACCGGGCTGGCGGAGCCGCCGCCGCTGGGCCGAAGCCCTGGGCGGCCATCCAGGGTGCTACCCTTCGCTCCTCTCCTCGGGGGGGGGACGTCGGCTGCCCACGGGCACCCGTGTCGGTCATAGGCAAGGCCACGACGGCGTGTGCACCGATCTTGGGCCCCCAGCCGATGGCTGGGTGTTGTATTCAACCACTGTCCTCCGAGCTTCCCCCCACTTCCCTTCCCCCCCTTTCCCCCCCTTTCCCCCTCCTTTGCCAGAGGGTCGAAGGGAGGGGGAAGAGGAGGAAGGGAGGAAGCAGGATGAGAGGGAGGGGGACACACGTGGAGGGAGGATGCGGGGAGGGACTAGGAGTCAGGGGAGGAGAGGGAGGAGTCGAAGAGGGGGGGGGCCATTAGCTCCATCACCTTCGCCTTCCCTCCGCTAGATTACATCAGCGCACGGAGTGCGCCTCTCATTTTCAATTCTGGGTGCCTGGCTGCCAACTGGCTTGCGCTTGCTTTGTGCAGGCACGGCGCTCTTGCTTCGCACGGTGGGGTCGGATTGGGTGGTGCGCGAGGATGAGGCGGGGAGGGAGGAGGACGGGGAGGACGATGATGCAGGCATGATGCCATCATTTTCTCTTCCGATTGGGCAATGGTAGGGACAAGTGCCAGAGGATAATGGTGTTGGGGAATACGGAAGACGAGGAGAAGGAGGGGAAGGATGATGAGGAGGAGGACAAGGATAATGAGGAAGACAGTGAACATGAGGTGGAGGAGGAGGAGGAGGAGGAGGAGGAGGAGGAGGAGGAGGAGGAGGAGGAGGGAGGAGAGGGAGGAGGAGCGATAGAAGACATGGCAAGTAGGGGGACGAGAGGGGGAGGAGGGGGAGGAGGAGCAGGAGGAGGAGGAGAAAGATGAGGAGGAGGAGGATAGATGGTAGGATGAGGATGAAGTCCAGTAGCAGCAGGAGACGAGGACGGGGATAGCGAGAGATAGAGAGAGAGAGGAAGGAAGAGGAGGTGGTGAAGGTGGAGGGGGAGGCGGAGGAGGGGGAGTCGAGGGCGGGGACAGGAGGGTCAGGATGAGGAGGGATAAGGTGAGGACGATGGGATAGAGAGAGAGGGAGAGAAACATGTATATAGTCCTCTCCGAATGTTCTTATAACGGAAATCCCCGGGTGACCCCCCCCGTACATACATTCGGCCCTGGGCGGTCCCATCGGGCAGACATTCCGTTTTTCGGTTGCGGGGGCCCCTCCTGGCCATCCCAAGCCGCCCGAGCGCGCCCAGGATCGCGGTCCAGACGGCCCCGCGGAACACCCAAACGACTGAAGCTCGTCTCAGGACGGCCCTGGAGGCCCCCAAGACGGCTGAAGAACGCTCCCAGGGGTCCCCCAATGCGGCCCCAGGACACTAACATCATCAAAATCCTTCGGGAAAAATTGTATTTCCACTAAATTCGTACTCTGGGCTTCCACGACGCCCAGGACAGCCCAAGAGGCGCCGGACAGTTCCCAAGACGGCTCCAAAGGCCCCAAAGACAGCCCAAGAGAGCCCCAAGACAGCCGCAGACACGCCCAAGACAGCCCAAGAGAGTCCAAACTGGGTGCCAATTGAGCCCCACAAAGCTCCTGGGTTTTTTGGGGCTCGTAGGGGTCAGCGGGGTTACAGGGCTCATAGAGGGCTGTTGGGGCCCATAGGGCTCATGGGGCTCACAGGGCTCAGGAGGCTCGTAGGGCTCTTAGGCAAGAGGCCGTATTCGGCTCATGGGGCTCACGGGGCACCATGGGGCACCATACTTAAGGCTCGTAGGATAGTTTGTTGGGTATTTTCAATTTTTCGTCGAAGATCCGCCTGTAGGAGGACACGCCCGACCTAACACTACCCACCAAACCACCCCAATCTAACCCGAAGGCCTCAATTTGCCCTCCATGTCCAGTGTGCGGGGGTCGGGGAACATGGACAAAAAACACATAAGAAACCCGTGCCCCCCCCCAACCCGAAATTCGGGTCTTCTGGTTGGGTTGGGGTGGTCTGGTAGGTAGTCAGTCAAGGGCGCCGCGTTCTGCGCAGCCTCTCTTCTTTGACCCTGCAGAGCGAGGCTGGCGAGGTCGACCCGGGAGAGGCCGGTGGGATGGGCCTCCTGGGCCATCGGGGGCCCACCGGCGCGAGAGGTTGCCAGAGGAGCAAGACGTCATGAGAACGGGGCCAAGCGATTAAGAAAATGCTCCACCCCACCCCCCGTCCCGGGGGGCCCAAAATGAATGAGTGCAGACTAAAAGAACTCAGCCGCCAGAAGCTGTGTTTTAATCGTCTGCCCCCCCGGCGTTTTATTGTGCTGCCTTGCGGCAATTATTTTCTATTCGTCCTGCTGCGTTCGTTTGATCACCCGCGGCCGCGGGAGAAGGATTGCGGAGAGGGGGCGCCGGAAGCGCCGCTGGGGAGTCCCAGCGCAGATCCAGGAAATCCACGGAGGACCGCCGAAAGTTTATGTTTGCACAGTCGTTTTCATCCCCGGGATTGTCCGCCCTCCGTCTGCCTGCACCGCCCCCCCGCTGTTGCGGTGGCGCCAAGGCCCGCGAAAGTGTTTAAGTTTTTTGGTTTTATATAAATTAAAATCGTTTGTTCCCAGTAACCAGAAGTTCCAAGATTGCCTAGATTTCCTGATGGTCCACACGGGCTGCAAGAACGAGGGCCGCTAGAAACTCCGGAATTCCTGGACAGTACCTTGACCCAATCGAATCATGACATCATTAGCGCTCTGAACTCGTGCGTCGCAGGGGAGGATGGAGGAGAAGGAGAAGGAGGAGGAGGAGAGAGGAGGAGGAGGAGGAGGAGGAGGAGGAGGAGGAGGAGGAGGAGGAGGAGGAGGAGGAGGAGAAGGATTCATCCCTTCGACCATCGTTCTTGCATTTTCTGATGGGGCATCGGAGCGGAGCAAGTGCGCAAGCAAGAGCAGCATGCCATTGCAGCCCTTGCGCCCACACGGCACTGTTTTTAGACAGCCGCAGCATCCGCGGCCCAGTTTTTTTTTGACGCAGCTTGATCGATCCATCGAAAGTGGCGTGCGGCTCGACGATGGCCTCCTCCAAGTCCTGGCACTCCTTGCGCTGTTTGTGGTGGCTCTGCTCCGCGTTCTCCAGCCGCGTCGACAGCGGTAGTGCAGTTTGCCCGGACATCGGTCCCCTCTGTCGAGCGAGCGGCAATGCTGAGTGTGAGTGGGCCACGTCACACTGGCCTGCGGCGCCATGTGCATGGGATCCCCCTTGAAGCCTCTGGGCAGGAGGTTGGCGACCGTCAGTACGACCCCCAGGCCAAATCTTCCACAGGTGCTCCATCTATGAATACTGTTGTCCTCTCTCCCCTGACAGCGTCCTGAGAGTCTCCCGCCCCCCCCCCACCCGCCCTTGCGTGTTGCCGTTGTAGCAAACTCTAGGCCTCCTTGATAGGGGTCGGAGTAGATGGGATCGGAGGATTGCGCCGCATCGCCGATCCATCGCCGATGCGGCTCGATGTCGAGCCCGATGTGCTTCACGTCGACGTCACCTATTCCCCCATGTCGACGACAAATCGCCGGTGCATCGCCGATGCATCGCCGATGCATCCCGATGAATCGGCGATGCGGCGCGATCCTCCGACACCATCTACTCCGACCCCAACTAGCAGGCTTCTACAAACAGGGCGGTTCCGAGTTGGTGCCGCTTTCCTGTGCTTTCAAACTCAAGCGCCCTCTTGCCTTCCGAAGTAAAATGCTCCCGTCGTTCAGGATGGCGTTCATGCCCCAGCGCGGGCAAGCTTTCGGGATCCTGAGTCCTTACTCGTCGTTTTCACCCCTCTCCTATCCCATCCTCCGCCTTCCCCTGCTCCTGCTCCTCCCTCTCCTTCCACTCTAGTTCCAGATGCTGCTGGTCGTCGTCCTCGTCCTCCCTCCTCCTCCTCCTCCTCCTCCTCCTCCTCCTCCTCCTCCTCCTCCTCCTCCTCCTCCGGGTCCTCCTGCCCACCCTACTTTTGATCCGCCACCTCCTCCTCCTCCTCCTCCGCCTCCTCATCTATGTACGCAGCTTCCCCTTTCCGATTGCGAATAACACGACATGGATCCGACTTGAAGTTGCAGATCTGCCGTTTCCCGCGTCGCGTGTGGAGAAAACGTCAGCGCAGCCGGGAGGGCTGGGCGGGAGGGGCAGGGGGGGGGGAGGATGTCATGTATGGCGCGAGCGCGCCTAAAGTGCTTGCCCCTGCCCCCCCCCCCCACTCCCCTCTCCCCCATCGCGAGAGGCGGAGGAGGGGAGGTGGGGAGGTGGGAAGGGGGATGATTGGACTGCTGGTTGCGATGCGTGTCTCTCAAATCGAGCTGCTGCGGCATTGAGTTGGATGCCCTCCACAACTCTGAGACAAGCTTGAAGCAATGCGAACCGTCCTGCCTTTTCGAGCATAGTTCGCGTGCTCATGCGGGGCTGGGTCCTTAGGCCATTCAGCTTTCTACTTGCTTGCATGCCCCAGTATTGACTTTTTGACTGGGGGTCGCGGCGCATTTTCATGTCGACTGGCGTGTTCGATGTTGGGGTGCTCAGGGCCACATGGCCAGAGGAAATAACGCACGGGATCTCATGTTAGATTGGCGTTCGCTAGCGCGCATGTGCATCCGGAAAGTTGTTTGGGGGCTTGGGGCGCAGCATGAAGCTGTCTCGAGTGGCACGGGCACTCGGAATTGCGATTCACAGTTGTATTGCATAATGTGTGGCGCAGGTGTTGGTCGCCGTCTGCTCCTCAACATCGTGACCCTCGCCAGAGCAGTTTGCTTGCCATGCCGGTGGCAGCAAGGGGGTCAAACATGCGTCGTGTAGCAAGTAGACGCTTCAGAGCAATATTCTACCGATAAGCCGCTTGAGACCGAGCGAGCAGCAATACATCGAACGTCGGGAAGCCAAATGTACCTCTAAACTTGTTAGTTTGTATACGGGCAGGGGCTTTCGCTTAGCGTGTCGCGCCGACGGTTCTGGCCCAACGCGCTTCTGCGTGACACGCTATCCACGCCACAGTCCCCAAGTATCAACGTCCCAAGCTTCTCCCAGACACCGTCCCGTCAGCGGAGCGACACGCTCTCCGCTTGGAGGGCATACGGTGTCGCCCGGGCCGCCGCCGCAACATGCGAAGCAAAAGTTCCTGACCGCAGCAGCGCGTTGCTCGAAAAGGGCTCGAAACACCCGAGCCACCAGGCAAGACAAGCACGCAGCCACCAGGCAAGAAAAGCAGGACGCAGGGTCTCGGGGGCCGTGACTGAGAGGGGTTTTAGGGGTCGGGTGCGGCAAAGAGGGGGGTGATGACTAGGTGGGGGGATATCATGGCGTGGGCCATGATATTTCTCCAGAGTTCATGGCGCCTCTTCTCATTTCATTACGGCCCTGGCCCCCCCCCCCTTGGGCAGCGCACATGCCGCCGGCCATGATCTGCGCCCCCCCCTCTTGGGCGCCCCCCTCTTGGCCGCCCTCGAAGGGGGGTGTCGAGGGGGGGGCTGCTGCTGCCGCCGTGGTTGGCTGTGTTCCCGAGCGCCCGTGAGTGCCCCCTCCGCACCCTCGCCCGTCGGATGGATGATGGTGGAGAGCGGGCGCGTGGAGTTTTGCAGCAGCAGGCTGGGGCACGGAATGTTACAGTTCCCCGACACAGAAGACCTCTCAGAAGGCCGGAGGGGTTCTGAGAAGCCTTGCCGCCTTGTGAGAAGGCATTATCCTCCTCATTTCCCCCCCTCGCGCGCCGCCGATATATTCGTTTGTATATGTATGCATGTATACATGGGCGCTGGCCGAACATTCTGCTTATTTGATTCTCCACGAGACTTCCCGACGGGGCTGCGAAGCGTGCGAGAGTGGTGCCAAAAGTGGCGACAGTTTCGCAGTTGGCAGCCCCCCCCAGGGATGGCGAGGTCCCGCTCTGATCTGCGTAGCACCCCACTAGGCTGGACCCGCCAGCAACCCTCGAAAGTGGCGTCGGTTTCGCAGATGGCAGCCCCCCAGTGATGGCAAGGTCTAATCTGAGTCGACGGGTGGGGGGGTGATGGCAGTATACTGCGGTTTCGTGCGGTGCTGAAGGTATCGCTCCGCCGAATCCATGCCCACGCCCTCTTCAAATAGTGGGCCATGCCCCTTATCATCGCTCCAGGAGAAGGAGGGGGGGGAGGATGAGGAGGAGGAGGAGGCGGAGGAGGAGGAGGAGGAGGAGGAGGAGGAGGAGGAGGAAGAGGATGAGGATTGTTTGTCCTGATCTCGACGATAAGCCAGGAGGGCGCTCCACCGCTTCCCCAGGATGTTTTGTTCCGCCCATCGGCGCGCGGCCCCCCTGGGCCTCCCCCCTCGCCCCGAGTCTGCCACAGCGCGACCTGTATGGAAGCAGGTCGGCCACACGCCCCGGCCCAGACCTGGACCCCCCCCCTCGCCCACCCTTCAGCCAAAGGTTCAAGCCCCGGAAAAGAGCGCCTGCCAGCAGCCAGGGCAGGAACAGGTTCCCATGCCGCTGCCCCTCGCCCCGTGTTCCCCTTGTGGGGCCTCCTGGGAAGCCCTCGCCGCCACCGCTGGATTCGCCTCGAAATCCGAGTCAGAACGCACCACGAGAGAAGTCAGGGGTGTAGCCGTATCGGTACCTCTTGGTTTCCCCAAGCAGGCTTCTTCAGGGGCACGAGTCTCAGTGACCCTTTCGTTTCCGTCGGAACTGTACAGCCGAGTGTCTCTGCTGTTGGAAGGGATGTCTGTTGAGCAGGACCACGTCTCCGCCGAGGCACCGCGCTAGCCTCGAGCATGCTTCCTGTGCTCATGGTGGAGATGGCGGGGTGCGATCGCATTCCCATGTAGGTTGGATTGTCACAGCTATCCTCGCCAGCGATGGTCTTCGCATGCGGCGGTGATGGCTGCTCGTTCTACACGCCGAGGCGTACTGCCAATTGCGTGACTCGCACGGATCACTAATGTTATTAGCGGCGGGCGCGTTCTTGCAAAATCCGTAAGGGCTTCGCCCCTTGCCGCCGGCCCCCTCTCTCGGAGAATGGGCCATGGAAGAGCGAAGTCATGAGGTTTTGGCTTCACCGTGAAGCAGCGTCGAAACTTCATGCGAAGACGATGGGTAATTGGCAAGACGAATGGAGATTGCGAGTCTATTGTTGTACTCGCTGTTGTATGTTCCATTTGCTCCCGTATGCTGTGCCCAAATTTTCTCCCCGAATTTGAAAATGTGCGAGGTCTCTTGTTTCCTGACCGCCGATCTACGTGAGGGCTGCCATCGAATTTCAGAAATGTGGCACGTCCCATCTGTTTTGTGGCACATCCCATGTGTTTTTGGACCCTGACCCGCCGATCTGCTTGAGGGGTGCCACCGAATTTCAGAAATGTGGCAAATCCCGGTTTTTGGACTCTGACCCCGCCGATCTTCGTGAGGGGTGTCAATTTTTACCCACCCCAGCAATTCAGAGCACGCGCTCAGGGCGTGCAAAACTGCCCGTTTGCGCCTCCCCCCCCTCGCGCGGTCCATCAACAAGGAACAGCAAGCAGCAAGAAGCAGAACTGTAACAGTGGAAACTGGAAGCTGCAACTGGTACAGGAAACTGCGAACCTTCGGCCTACAGCCTGGTGGCCCCACAAGGGGGCCAGCGGATTTTAGTTCCGGGTGGGCGATGTTATGGCTTTATCTTGAAAGGTATGCCATCAACCACTCCGATTAACTTTTGATTGTTTGTGCACGTGGCAGCCACGCACGGTCCGCGAGAGTATGGAAATGTGTCTCTTGCGCGAGATCGGGGAAGGATAGCACGGGTGAGTCAGTACATGTCCAAGCGGTGGCCGAAGACATACACGTTTGGCTCCGTGGCCCTCGTAATTGTCGTGTGCGTGCGTGTGTGCGTGTGTGTGAGGCGATTGTAGAGTTAGGTCGGGCGTGTCCCACTATAGGAGGAATGCTCAAAACTAGTCAAATATAATCAGGGGGCGATGTGTGGAGTATGTTTTTGACTATTTTGGATTTGTTTTGAGTATGTTTTATTTGTCGTTCAGAATCCGCCTGTAGGAGGACATGGCCGACCTAATCGTAGAGAAGACGGTGATTTAGTGGCGCTCATGGACCCTGGCCCATCTGGCCCTTTCTCGCCTCCCGAACTGATGTGATGTGGCCCGCGAGGGTCTCATGTAGTGCAGCGTAAGACGATGTAGTGATGCACATGTGATGCCTCTTGACCTTGATGCACACGCGCGTGAACCACACGCAGATAATCACATGCAGCGGTATGATGGTGTGCATGAGGCCGCCAAGCTATTTGCAATTGCGCATTAAACGATGATTGCGGTTGCAGCCGTGATCATACATCATCCTCCGCAGTACTGGGTAAAAGCGAGTGCGGGCTCGCTTTGCGCGGCTCCCCAGCGTGACTCCTAGCGCGGCTCCCTGGCGCGCTGTTTAGCGTGGGTTTCCAGCGTGGCTCCCCAGCATTGCTCCCAAACGCGTCGCTCCGACGTATCGTCTCCCATCCGGCGCATGCACGCGCCCAGAGATGGAGAACAATCGTTGGGTTGTTTAATGTGATGTGATGTGATGTGATGTGATGTGGTGTGACCTGGTGCATATCATGCCGTACCAACACGAAAAACATGGCATAGTAACGCGCGCCAGTGCGGCTCGATTGCCCGATCACCGGCCAATGATTACGCATTTCGTGTTCCAGCCCCCCTTGAAGTTCAGCAGGGGAACATGTTTACGGAAAGGGAGACAGGCGTTTGTGGTAAGTTGTTTTTCATGTAGTGGCGGAAGTCCGCAGTAAGTTGACGATCTGGCGTGGTCATTGAAATATCTTAGATTATAGTCACATGTGCACGTACGTGTTATTGTCGTTTGGGCGCGGACGCGTGTGTGCATGCACAAATTGTGACACCAGAGGCGATAGGATTATCTTGAGACTTGCCTCTGTCACCAGCGCTTTTTTGAGACCCTGTCAGACCAAGCTGCTGGTCCGTCACAGGCCCAGCTGTTGGAGCAGCGAGTGCGGTGGCACGTCCTCATCGTAGGTCTCACGACTTTGCAGCTTGTCCCACCCGTGCGAGTTCCCATACCGCCCTTCCTGGCCTTTTGTGGCGCTGTTGCCTAAGGGGTGCGAACTCTTGCAGCTTCTCGTTTGAGCAGCCTTCGACACTCCAGAGCTGTGCACGTGCATTTCCAGATCTTGCCACACGTGCCCGTTGACCCGTTCGTGGTTCGCGGACGTCAGCGAGGCATGTTGGCAGGCGAGGCGCTCGCGCGTCGCCCTAGACCCTCGCGGGCGGGGTGTGGAGCGCAGCCCGACTGGGCGGGGCTCTCTGCAGAGGATGTCTTTCAATTACCGCCGCTGCGGGCCGCCGCCTCGCGCAGGGGCAGGAACGTCGAGCCTCCCGAGAGCACTGCCCAGCTGCCTGCGGCAGATCCGCCGCCGTGCCAGCGACGCTCCTGCGTGGGGATCCTTCTGCCACCGCCCGGGCGAAGAGCGGCATCTCAGATGTTGTGCTGAGATCGGGGGCGCTTGTCCTCAGGCGGCTGATGCCCCCACCTGCCATCGTCAGGATACAAGCTTCCAGCCGCTATGGGACAGGCGTTCCCGATCGTGGAGCCGTCTGGTATACCCTTCTCCGCCCGCTAATATATGGCCGTCGCATGTGGCACCTCTCGTCTCCACTTGGTGGGGAGCTCTCATTGGGAACAGCATGGGCCGTCTTGGGGCTGTATTTGGTTCTGTCGGGGTAGTCTCCAGGGTCTTTTGGGGCTGTCTTGGGACACTACATCCCCGCCACGAAAGTTTGTTCATCTTGGCTATAAATGACATGCCTGGGCACTGTGGTGAGAAGTTGTCTGGGAGTGATTTTTCCGGTGTGAGTTCATACGGGGAGACATTCAGAACTGCATGGAACTGGCTGGGAGTGACTCCCCCCTTGTGAATGAATAGGGGGAGAGAGTGTATCCCGAATGTGTTTTGCATTTTCCATTTCATTCAAGGTAGAACCCCAGAAATCGTTCCCGCCCAGCCAGGCTAAAAGCCGTCGTGCTAGGAGCTTGCGGGGGAAAGTGGGGTCCCACTTGAAGACGCCTCAGTCGTCACGCTGCATACCTCCGAGGGCGGGACCAGCGCTATCCCTTGACGGCACAGCGCCTTTGGCCGCCACCGCCCGGTTGGCACGTGCTCCAAGGACCCCTGGCAGAGTCGCCGGCCACGGCCTTCGCCTTCGCCGACCTGTTCACCCGTCTCGCGAGCGCCCTGCAGGCCGACCTGCCCAGGACGGGGCGCTTCGCCAGGACACCGGCGAAGTCCATGGACCAGGCCTCCTTCTGGAGCCATCCCCAACATGTCTCGACCAGGTTCAAGTCTGGGTTGCGCGCAGCGGAGCGCGCGAGAGTGAAATCGTCCTGTCCGTGCGCGCGGTGGCGGGCGGTGCTCGTCAAGAAAGATCCGTGTCCCGAAAAAAGGGGTAACCTTGCGGCGCAGTAAGTGGTCGCAGCGGGGCAGCGATGGCACTGATGATGGCAATGTGCGCGTAAACCTTGTGCTGCGGCCCCGCTCGGACGTCGAGTCTGGGCTCCTCATCCCCGCTACCAATGTTCATTCATCGAGGCAATCAATGACATCTCCGGCCGCTGTGGCGAGACGTCGTCTAGGGTGATTTTTCCGTTTCGAGTTCGTACGGGAGGCATTCAGAAGTGCATGGAAATGGTCGGGAGTGACTTCTTCCTTGTGGGTCCATAGGGGGGGAGATTGCATCCCGACGCTGTTATGTATAATTCATTGTACACCAGAGAGATCCCCTTGACAATTCCCCGCCCAGCCAGGCCCCAAACCGTCGTGCTTGGAGTATACGGGGAAAGCGGGGCCCCGCTAGGAGACGCCCTAGTCGTCAGCGCCCAAGATGAATAACTTTTGTAACGGGTAAGTCTCGGACCGTCATGTTTATTTCTTTGCCGTCAGCGTGATATTGCGGGGCCACTTGGGGGATCCCTTGGGCACTCCACGAGCCCTCTCAGGCCGTCTTGGCCAGGGTCCATTCAGAAGCCCTCTGGGGCCAGTTTTTGGTTTTCGTGGGGCCGTCCTGGACCGACTAGGGGCCGTCTTGGGGTTGTAAGACCACGGGTGGGTCGATCTTCGACCGAAGGCCGTGGAAACATGAATCACGCTGACGAGGTCAAGGATAACACATGTTTTTTTTTTGTATTTGTAAGGGGCTCCTGGGAAACATGTTGGGGGCGTTTTTTTTGATTCTAATGGGGGCATTATTGGTCCTAGTGAGCGGCGGTTCCTGGGTGCGTCTTGGGCAATATTTAGGCACGTCGGCGGCCTTGGGTGTTTTTTCATGGGCATTCTGGGAAGCCGTGGAGCGCGTAGGAGAGCCTAAGAGAGGTGTGTGCCCGCCCACGGAGCTCGGGAATGGGGTTGGAAACGTCTGGGCGAGTGTGAGGACAGGAGGTGGTGGACCGTAGAAGATGCGCATAATTTCTGCCAGACCGCACTTGGCATTATACCACGCCTCAACGTGCTTGGGGGCACTGCGGCGGATGTTCGACAAAACGTGTGTTGTGCCACTCTTTCATCGTCGTCGCTGCAGCCCTTTTTTTCCTCCTTGTCCTCTCGTCCATCCCTTTCGCTGTCCTCTTCCTTTTTCTCGTCGTGTTCCTCTTCCTCCTGCTCCTCCTTTTTCGCCTCCTCCTCCTCCTCTCGACCCCCGCGCCTGACACCACAGAGCGACGAGGAGGAGGAGGAGGACGACGACGAGGACGAGGACGAGGGGGAGGACGAGGACGAGGACGAGGAGGAGGAGGAGGAGGAGGAGGAGGAGGTGGAGGACGAGGAGGAGGGGGAACGGGAGTGGGAGGGAGAGGGGGAGGAGGAGGAGGAGGAGGAGGAGGAGGAGGGGAGGAGGAGGGGTGGTGGTGGTAGTGGTGGTGGAGGAGGAAGGGGAGGAGGAAGAGGAGGAGGAGGAGGAGGAGGACGACGACGAGGACGACGAGGACGACGAGGACGAGCACGAGGACGAGGAGGAGGAGGAGGAGGAGGAGGAGGAGGAGGAGGAGGAGGGGAGGAGGGTGAGGAGGGGGAGGAGGAGGAGGAGGAGGGGAGGAGGAGGAGGAGGGAGGAGGAGGAGGAGGAGGAGGAGGAGGAGCAAGAGGAGGAGGAGGAGGAGGGATGAGGAGGGATGAGGAGGGAGAAGGAGGAGGAGGAGGAAGAGGAGGAGGAGGAGGAGGAGGAGGTGGAGGAGGAGGAGGAGGAGGCGTCCTTGCCGGAACGGGACCCCCCCCCTCTCGGCAGGAGCACCCCGAACTTGTGGCCCGCACTCTCCTCTAGGGCCCGAGCTGCACGGTGTCTCGGCGACCTCGTGGGCCGCTCTCGCTTCGACTGCGCTTCGCGGCAGAGGCAGAGCGAAGGCGGAACGAAGGAGTGCGATGTCAAAACGAAGACGAGAAGCATGGTTTGGCTCTCGCCCTGCCCTCCTCTCCGACCGTCGAAAGGAGATGAAAGGGGGGGCACACTCTCGTCGTCATTGTCGCCGTCATCGATCGCCGCCGCCGCCGCAGCCGCCGCCGCCGCCGCCGTCGTCGTCGTCGTCGTCGCCGCCGCCGCGGCCGCCGTCGTCGTCGCCGCCGTCGTCGCCGTCGTGGTCGTCGTGGTGGGCGAGCCCGTCGGTCGGGCGTCGTCGTCGACGTCGTCGCCGCCGCCGTCGTCGTCGTCGTCGTCTTCGTCTGGCGGGTCCCGTCGGTCGGGCGGACGGGCAGGACACGCCGTCGTGAGCGAGTCGGCCGGGCGGGCGGGCGGGACATCGTCGTCGTCGTCGTCGTCGTCGTTTGCCAGATCCCGGAGAGGATGGGGGGTCCGACCCTCTTTGATTCTTACTCTGGAGGAGGGCGGTCCGACCCCTCCGATTTTCAAAGGGGGGGAAGGTGCTGTCCTGACCCGCCTTGGCCTTCACAGGAGACGCGTGCACGAATATTCCGACGATCCGACGCGCCTCGATGAGTCCATGCCGTTGTTTCGTTGTGTATCGCGGAGTCGGACGATCCGATTCGATTCGGACTCCGTGCCGATAATGTTTGATTCGATGGGCGTTCCGATCATATTTCCCAGCCATCCTGCGGTGTTGCATCTTCGTTTTGAAGAGACGGCGTCTCGCGCCTCATTCCTTCCTCCTCTTCCCTCCTCCCATCCTCCCATCCTCCCATCCTTGCCTCTGCCCTTCGCAGGCGCAGTTCGGCATACCCCTCACACGCTTCGGCTCCACCCGAGGCCCCAGTGGGTGCGGCCGCATTTCGGGTTGACACAAAAGGGGGTCCAGCGACAAGGGGGTGGTGCAGTAGATTTGGTGCAATAGATTTGTGGTGCTGCAATACATGTGGGGCGTGCAATACATTCCAGGGCACCGCAAATGTATTGCTGGATTGTCGCGTGCAATACATGACTTGCAATACAATGCAGTAACATTCTCCAGCGCAATACATTTGCAAAACAATTGCCCCACATCTATTGCACCACCCCCTTTCAGCTGGACCCCTTGTTGGGTTTGAAGGACGCATGCGGCTCCCCGCCCGACGCATGCCCATGTCGGCACACCCCTTACACGTTTCGCGGCCCCACTGGGAGTTCCACCTCAGGCCCCAGTGGGTGCGGCCGCATGCGGCTCCCGACCCACCGCATGCCCATGTCGGCACACCCCTCACACGATTCGTGGCGCCATAGGGAGCTCCACAGAAGATGATGTTCGCAACTATTGTACTCACAACTGCACATGTTTGGGACTTTCGTTCGGATGTGTGTTCCGATTTGATGTTGGCCGCCGCTCCTGACTGTGCTGCGATCGAGGACGCCGCGGTTCACGATTCGCCCACGCGGCGGTGATTCTTCGTACGGATTCCAGGGGCAACATGTGGGCGGGCCGGCTCAGGTGGGGATGTATCCATCCCCGCTCGCCCAGTGATCGCTGGGCCTGATAGTCTTCCTCGCCCAGGAACGTGCGGAGCCGCCATCGGGGGCCTGTCGCCGATCCATTGGCGATGTATCGCCGATTCCAGGTCGGCGTTTCCCCCGCCGAGCCGTTCCCCACCCCCCGACGTTGCCCGTCGTGATGCTGATGGTGCCCGTTCTCGCCCTGCGGTGGCAAGGACGACGTGGTTCTCACGTGGGTGCACCTCATGCGGGCCGCCGTGTTCGTTGCGTCTCCGAGCTTCTTCTCCTACATCCCAGGAGGGAGGTGTGGGGGCTGCCCGCCGCTCTGCCTGCTTTTTCGACATGTCCTGGGCATGCCTCTGGACACGCCAGAGGGCAGGGTTCGCCAGCGGCGTCTGCGCCCTCGGAAGCAGATCCCAGAGATGCACTCCAGCGGGGCCACGAGTAAAACGACGCGAAGATCGGGACAAAATCGGATCGGCATAACTCGAAATCTCTGAGAATCGGCGAGTTTGGAGGATGTATTGGGCGCCGCGGCCGCTCCAGAGCGTTCCGGAACGCTCTGAGAGCGCTCCGGAACGCTCTGGAGCGATTTATCCCGATCCTAGCCCTGTTTTAGGCAGGGTTTGCCAGCGGCGTCTGGGCCCTCGGAAGCAGATCCCAGAGATGCACTCCAGCGGGTTCGGCTTGACCCGGGACGGCAGAGGCCTCCGCAGTGCCATAGGGCCGTAGGGGTTGCGCAGTGAGTCTTCCGTTGCTGCCGCTACCGACCAGTCGACAGTGGCCAAGTTTGACAAATCAGTGCAATATGCTGATCCTGTTGCATCTCTCATCCTCGTCCTCAGGCGGTGTGCTCGTTTTCATGCTCAACATCCTTGGCTTTCAGAGCAGATTTTGAGGATGTCTCAGGCGGGGCGCTGGTTTCAGCATCCCTAAGGGGAGCCGCCAGGGGTAGGACACGGGCCTGTTGGCGGCCAGTTTGTGGGGATGTCTCAGGCGGTTTGCTCGTTTTCATGCCCAACATCCTTGGTTTTCAAAGCAGATTCTGAGGATGTCTCAGGCAGGGCGCTGGTTTCAGCACCCCTGAAGGGGAGCCGCCAGTGGTGTTGTCACGGGCCCGTTCGCGGCCAGTTTGTGGGGATGTCTCAGGCGGTGTGCTTGTTTTCATGCCCAACATCTTTGGCTTTCAGAGCTGATTTTGAGGCGGGGCGCTTGTTTCAGCACCCCTGAAGGGGAGCCGCCAGGGGGTAGGACACGGGCCCGTTCGCGGCCAGTTTGTGGAGATGTCTCAGGCGGTTTGCTCGTTTTCACGCCCAACATCCTTAGCTTTCAGACCAGATTTTGAGGATGTCTCAGGCGGGGCGCTGGTTTCAGCATCCCTAAGGAGATCCGCCAGGGGGTAGGACACCGGCCCGTTCGCGGCCAGTTTGTGGGGATGTCTCAGGCGGTTTGCTCGTTTTCCTGCTGCGAGGAAGGAGACGAAGCGTGCGGGTCCCTTGGGTCGTGCTCCGGCACGTACCCTCTGGGACGCACGGA